GAAATTTTGCTCCGATAATATTTCTGAAAATACTATTTTTGAGCTCTAAAATCATATTTTTGTTACCAATCAATTATGATTAATATATAAATGATTTCTTGGAATAAAAATGATGTTTTGAGAACTAGAAGGACCTTCCGTGATGCATGACGGTAAGCTAGAGTGTTAACACTCGTAGCCAGACCTCTATTTGCTATGGGATGTTATGTTAATTGATGATTATGATAATGCAAACTAATATACTCAATTCAACCCCAAATCAATATTGCAAATCTCAAATCCAAGTTCAATTCCAACAAGCCAATCACGCAATCTAATAATCATAATTGAATGAAAACATACGAACGAATCATAATTCAATTCTAAGAAATAACAATTGAATTAGAACTGAAATTTCATAAAATTAAATTGAATGAAATCAAATTTTAAGATGACATGGCATGGTATCTAACTTACAGGCAGCTGGTTTTGTTCATAATATTTAGAGCAATGCTAGGTTCAGAAACTGAATAGTCACAAACTTCAACTACTTATGACTTAAATTCCTATTTCAAAATTATTTGAGACTAATTATTTTTTTTGTTAAACTCATAAATAATCCATATCTAAAGTTTGTGACCACGTGGGTGTGAAGAGTGAATCTAGCACTTCTCTAATTTTTTTTTATGGGATTTTTTTATGGGGTTGTGTTCGCTCAACCCGCAAACACTGCCCGTTTAAAACCCCAGAGGATTATTCGATCAGTTTATATATGTTGGGCTTGAGATTGGCCCATGTGGTCACCAAGATCTATTACGAATTTCCGAGCAATTTACAGTACTACCTAAACCATATGCCCCTTCTCATCTCGCCTTAACAATTGTGGATGATGATGATGATGATGTCCCGCTTCAACCGATTAATCCAGCCTACGGTATCTTCATCTTTCTCTCTATCTCTCCTAACATTTTTCATGTAAAGAGGATTGACTCCAATAATTGGCTCTAATTTCAAAGCTTCCACGCTTGTTCATTCGCTGTGCAATTGGATATTGGAAATAATAAAGCTTTGTTCAATCGCTGATATGCAGAAGTTTTACTCCAAAATTTGGTTCCAATTTCAAAGATTTTATATTTGTTCAATCACTGATAGGCAGATGTTGTAGTCCAAAATTTGGATCCAATTTCACGAGTTGTGAGTAATAGGATTATCTGACTTTAATGCTCTATTTTGGTTTGCATATAAGAACTACAGTTTCTTTAGTTTGTATATTTGATTGTATTGATAGGTCAATTTCGGGCAGTTGTCTAGAACAATTAAAAGCAATGCTGTTGAAAAACAATACATTGGGAAAACATTATATACTCCCAAGCAAAGTATTCTGATAGTTGGTGATGGAGATTTAGGATTTTCTCATAGTGTGGCAAGAAATATCGTTGATGCCAAAGGGATCACAGCAACCTCCTACAATACTATAGGTTATTATTCTATTTTTTATACCAATGTTTTTTTCTTCTTATTTTGCATACTAATACAAGTTAAACTGAATTAACAGCTGAACTAGAAACCATGTATAAACGCGCACGAAACAATTTGTGCGGTCTTATACAAAGGGGTGCCAGGATAGTTCTTTCCATGAATGCTAGAGAAATGGCAAGCGACAATAGAGTGAACAATGCACTCTGTGATATCGTGATCTTTAATCAGCCGTACGCCGTAGAGCCCTTCCCCTTTTCACAGTACAATCCGCGTATAATAGAGTAAATTCTTATAAAAACTTTTCCGTGATGTATGTTATGGAATGAATTTTTTATTTATTGCAGGGCTAATCAAGAATTGATAAGTATGTTCATTGGTCTGTTGGTTCTTATAACAGTTAGAAAGCATAGAGGTATCATGCTATCATGTGGTGAAATTGGGAGTTATTATATACTGAAATTGGGAGGCTGATTGTTGATGTTATAGGTTCCATCAGATGGGTTGGAGAGTACTATGTTCTTATAGATCTCCTTGGTTTGTGATGGCTTGGGCCTTAGCGTTGTGTAGTCAGTGGTGTTCTTTATGGAGAGTTAGTGGGATATACATCACTTTGATTTGAGATGGGACGGGGCTTTGGCAAGATTACTATAAGGTTATATTATGGACAGTAAGTAGCGCAAATCAGTTACGAAAATTTGTGGGATTGTGTAGAGAAAGGTACAGACGAGGAGTGGAAATCGTGGATATAACATGGATTGAGGAAGTTTGGCTTTCTGCAATTTTGCCCTATGACATAAACTTATGAAGTGGCTGGATTGGGGTCAGGATGCCTCCAAAAAAACAAAATATTGCTCACAACAAATGGGTTCCTCCAAAATTGAATTGCCCAAGTTGACTTGGCACGCATTTGTAGGCAAGTTAAAAATGCAATTGACTTTCCTAGACTACCTCAATCCAACCCCTCTCACTCCCTTGCCGCTAGAGATTGTCTCTTCCCATCACCCAAGTTGATTTTGTGTCCAAGAACGGGACTATGGCCTCTAGTGGTCCCAAAATGGTCTCCAAAATGAACTCGGTCGCTGGAGTTTTGTGTTGGTCTACTGATGGCACAAAAACTGGCGTGACCAGATTGTAGATCGAGGAGCACGAAGCAGATGGTCTTAGTGGGTGTGTTCTTTGCCATCAAATTCATTTAAGTGTGAGTAGTTCCCCATGGCGAAAACCTAGGAATGTAGGGAATTCGGGTAGGCTTTAAGATGCCTCTTTGCTCTAGGGTTTGAGGGAAGCACATGAAGGAAGAGATACGGAAACGGATTGAAATTGAGACGGAGATATGATGGAGGCAAAGAAACAGAGTTAGAGCTTGAGTAGAGTGAAGGGGGCATTAATGACATTTCTGCTTTTAAAATTTATTTGTTTTCACCGAGATGAAAAACGAAAGTAGGAAATTCAAATCTTGATGGAAGCAATACTTAGGCCCCGTTTGGTACACGGAATTCAAACTATGGAATTGGAATTGAGAACTTTAATTCCAATTCAAGTGTTTGGTAGCACAAAAAGTTTGTGACCACGTGGGTGTGAAGAGTGAATCTAGCACTTCTCTAATTTTTTTTTATGGGATTTTTTTTATGGGGTTGTGTTCGCTCAACCCGCAAACACTGCCCGTTTAAAACCCCAGAGGATTATTCGATCAGTTTATATATGTTGGGCTTGAGATTGGCCCATGTGGTCACCAAGATCTATTACGAATTTCCGAGCAATTTACAGTACTACCTAAACCATATGCCCCTTCTCATCTCGCCTTAACAATTGTGGATGATGATGATGATGTCCCGCTTCAACCGATTAATCCAGCCTACNTAGCACTTCTCTAATTTTTTTTTATGGGATTTTTTTTATGGGGTTGTGTTCGCTCAACCCGCAAACACTGCCCGTTTAAAACCCCAGAGGATTATTCGATCAGTTTATATATGTTGGGCTTGAGATTGGCCCATGTGGTCACCAAGATCTATTACGAATTTCCGAGCAATTTACAGTACTACCTAAACCATATGCCCCTTCTCATCTCGCCTTAACAATTGTGGATGATGATGATGATGTCCCGCTTCAACCGATTAATCCAGCCTACGGTATCTTCATCTTTCTCTCTATCTCTCCTAACATTTTTCATGTAAAGAGGATTGACTCCAATATTTGGCTCTAATTTCAAAGCTTCCATGCTTGTTCATTCGCTGTGCAATTGGATATTGGAAAAAATAAAGCTTTGTTCAATCGCTGATATGCAGAAGTTTTACTCCAAAATTTGGTTCCAATCTCAAAGATTTCATACTTGTTCAATCACTGATAGGCAGATGCTGTAGTCCAAAATTTGGATCCAATTTCAAAGCTTCGATCTCTGTTCTATCGCTGCAAAATCGGTACTGATAAAAATTAAAGCTTTGTTCAATCCCTGATACCCAGAATCGGTTTTACTCCAAAACATGTTTCTAATTTCAAGGCTTCTATCTTTCTTCAATCGCTGATATGCAGAGGTTTTGCTCCAAAGTTCTGTTCTAATTTCAAAGTTTCAATCTTTGTTCAATCGCTGATATGCAGAGGTTTTACTCCAAAATTTGGTTCCAATTTCAAATCTTTGATCTGTGTTCAATCGCTGCGAAATCCGTTATAGACAAAAAATTAAAGGTTTGTTCAATCGCTGATGTTCAGAGGTTTTACTCCAAAATTTGGTTCTTTTTTCAAAGCTTCAATCTTTGTTCAGTCGCTGATACGCAGAGGTTGTGCTCCTAATTTTGGTTCTAATTTGAAAGCTGCGATCTTTGTTCAGTTGCTGTGAAATCGATTATTGGCAAAAATTAATGCTTTGTTCAATCCCTGATATGCAGAGGTTTTACTACAAAATTTGGTTCTAATTTCAAAGCTTTGATCTTTGTTCAATCGGCTCTCAATCCTTTATTGTAAAAAATTAAGGGTTTGTTCAATCGCTGATATGCAGAGGTTTTACTCCAAAATTTGGTTCCAATTTCGAAGCTTCGATCTTTGTTCAATTGCTGTGAAAACGGTTATTCGCTAAAATTAAAGCTTTGTTCAGTCGCTGATATGTAGAGGTTTTATTCCAAATTTTGGTTCCAATTTCAAAGCTTTGATCTTCGTTCAGTCGCTGCAAAATCCGTTATTGACAAATATTAAAGGTTTGTTCAATCGCTGATATGCAGAGGTTTTGCTCCGAAATTTGGTTCCAATTTAAAAGCTTTGATCTTTGTTCAATCGCTGTGAAATCGGTTATTCACTAAAATTAAAGCGTTGTTCAATTGCTGATATGCAGTGGTTGTATTCCAATATTTGGCTCTAATTTCAAAGCTTTGATCTTTGTTCCATCGCTGCAAAATCGGTTAACGACAAATATCAAAGCTTTGCTCAATTAGCTGATATACAGAATCGGTTTTTATTATTTTAAAAAAACCCTAGCATCTATCAGTTGATTAATGTTATTTTTTCTTGAAGTTTTACTAAGATTTGTGTTTTTGCTCTGGTCTTTGTTGAATCTTTAATTCGAATCTTCGGTTTAATTAGAAAACTTACGTCTTTGTTCATGCTATTTGTGACTCGGTTTTTTTGTTGGTCATTGTTTACATTTGAATTTTTTTTCTTCTTAATTTATCAAATCAGTTTTTATGCACCCTCCTCCCTACCCACTCTATTTTGTACTCCCTCCGTCCCTCATAGATCTTCTCAATTGCCTTTTTTCTTTGTCCACAATAGATCTTTTCATTTCATTTTTTAACAATTAAAATACCACAACTACCCCCACTTACTTTATTTATTACACCTCACCCACCTCATTTAATACACTCCACCCATTTTTCATTAAGGGTATTATGGTAAACTTTCACCTTTTTTCAACTCTCCTTAAAAACCACCAAAAGTCAAAATGAGAACATCTTAGGGGGACAGAGGGAGTATTTTTTTAAATGTAAATGTTGTTTTTTTTTTTTGAAATATATGATCACATTGCTTTTCATACTTGCAGATGCATGATGCATTTCGCGGTCCTGCTTTTCTGACTAAAATATTGAGGCAATATCACTCTAACGGGATCGATCCAACAAAACCATTAAGTATAATCAACCCGTGGGTAGTTAAAGAGCCACGTGAAGCGACATTGATGAGCAATCTATCAACTACTCGTGAAATACTTGGACCCGGTATGATTCTCCTGAAGAATTTCATCAGCGTCAAGAACCAGGTATTCGTTTTCTGTTAATCATTTAAGTTAACCACCAACACATGCTTAGCCTACATATGTTGTACTAATAGATTTTGTCATCTATGACTACAAGTAGAGTGTCTTTTTTGATCTTTGAAAGGAATGTAGATTCATTAGCTTCTGCTATTACTATATTCATAATTCAAGAGTAGTGTAATTACTTTACATGTTTGAACTAATCTTTTAGGTTGATTTAGTGAAATTATGTGAAATGTGGGGTTTGGGTCCCGGGGGCTTTTACATTCCCAGAGACCGAAATGGAGAAAAACTTCGACTACAAATGATGTCTTTCGGGCGAAACTGGGATCCAGTAACAAAGTATGAGAAACCTTTTAGGAGTGATGGTTCTAAACCACCACCACTTCCATTTGAACTTATTTCGTTGGCTGAAAGCGCGATTCAAGTTGCTCAAGCCCATCTGGACGGACTTCCTTTAATGCACCCAGACATTTGTTTAGTCAATTTCTATTCACCGGTCTACGGTCGACTTGGCCTTCATCAGGTTAGATTTTATTTGTACATACCCACTTTTGTAATGTGTCTTAGCCTCTATCTTTATCCACTTTGAAATAGAACATGAGTTTTTTTTTTTTATCGTGGATAAGTAAGATAATTTTTACGTGTCTTTTTTTCAGGATTGCGATGAAAGCTCCGAAAGTCTACAAAGAGGGTTGCCGGTGGTTTCGATGTCTATTGGGGACTCTGCAGAATTCTTGTATGGCCATACCAGAGATGCTAGCAAGTTAGACAGCCTTTATTTGCAGTCAGGTGATGTATTGATATTTGGTGGCAAGTCTAGACTCATATTTCATGGGGTGAATCGAGTCTATCCACACACTGCTCCTCAGGCATTCATAGACCAAATAGCCCTTAAACCTGGCCGTCTAAACCTTACTTTTAGGCAAATTTGATCATATGCTCTTATGCATATGTACCGTTTAGCTTCTTTCTTTCTTTCTTTCTTTCTTTCTTTCTTTTTTAATTTAAAAAATCTCTCTTCCTTGGGATCTTGTGGGCAATCTCATCATGTTTCTGCTACTGAAATAATTGCCCAACATGCCATATTTTGTGCCTCTGTAGTAATGTTTTTTAAGGTTTATTTGATGTGTACACTATTGTACTCCCCCACTTCATTAATTTCTTTTTCAGAATGATTCTTTCTAATAAAGCGAGTATTTTTTTTGACATTTGTCCTCAATAAATAATACTCCCTCCGTCCATGTATGATCTTCCCATTACGCGTTACGAGGCTTGACTGACTTTATTTTCAACTCAATTTAATTGATTATAGGAAAAATTTTAAAATAAAATTTATATAGTAATAAACTACATGAAAAGTTCTACAAAACTAGAGGTGACACGACTATATTATTTTATGAAATTACTCGTAAAATTGAGCAAATAAAGTGAGTAAACTTTGACCCTGTGAATAGTGTTTGGAAAGATCTATGGTGGATAGAGAGAGTAGTTAGTTATCAACAGAGTCTTTTGTAATTGGAAAGTATTTTCTGAACAGTTCTCTATAAAAAATGCCTATTAAATGAGAGTTAAATAGATGTCAATTTTTTATTTTCCATCATCATATAAATTAGGCAATGGGATATGAAGAAGGGGAGGGGCGACCCTGATGTGGCAGATTGGAGTCGATGTGGCCATCTGGAAAGCGGCAACCATACCGGTTAGCCTTAGGAAGAAACTTTTGTTGGGATTCAAAACAAGGAGTGTGTTGGGTTTTGTGGAACAAAATGTAACAAAGAGTGTCTATGAATGGCCGAGGACAAAATGCTCCTCGGCCATTCATAGACCAAATAGCCTGGCCGTCTATATAAAAATCCTTCCAAAGGGGTGGGGGGGGGAGTGACGTTCTGGTTAGCACAATAATACTTACAACTTACTTATTCCCAACTGGTGCACTCTCGACTTAGTTCGGTACTCTTCCGCCTAGTCTCCTAGGCCCCCGGGTTCCTTAACCCAACAGTGTCATTTAAAAATAGTAATTCAGGTGCCAGTTTCACACTTTTCATTTTGACATGAAAAGTTTGTCATAGATTCTCAAAAATACCATTTACATTTCCGTTCTAGAAAAGTATGTGTAATTCAATTTTTTTTAGTGAATTGTAAAAAGAAATAGGAAAGATGAATGAAAACATAATTGCTGTGTGGTTTCATGAAAAAATTATTAGTACATTATCTAAAAAAACGTCATTTCGAAATGAGAAAAAAATTAAAGTAAGAGAAAAATATAAAAAATATACGAATAATAGGTTTTATTTAAATAAAGTCAGTCAAATCTCGTAAGTCGTGATGGCTGATGAGAAGATTTATGGAGTACGTAGGGTGTAAATTAAAGCATACTTCCTCTATATCTTTCTTCTTTCTTTTTTCATCTGTCCAAAAATTCTTTCTCATTTCTATTAAAAAAAATAACTTTTACTCCAACTAGTAATTTTTAACGTATATATCACAGTGTCATACTTTTTCATTATTAATCTATCTATCACAAGTCACAACATACTTTTATTCATCACATCCACGAGCATTTTTGGAAACTCAATACCAAAATATACTTTTCTTACATCTTTTAAAAGTAAAAAACATAAAAGTTTTCTAGGACGAGGGAGTAGTAATTAATTATCGAGAGTAAATTCCCAAAACTATACCCAAATTAGACTACATAATTATGAATTAATTACCAAAATGATTTTGGTTAAATAAGAATAATGCTCTATTTTGGTTTTGATTAACAGTCATTGAAACAATATTTAAGCTTAAACTAATTTTCTAAAATGATTCTTTCGAATGGAGTGTTTTCCTAATTTAGACATTTTTTGAAATAAAACTCATTAATTATAAAAAATTAATTTTTAATTTTATAGGATAAGAATATAATAAATAAATTATAAATATAATTTAATAAATTTTAAAGTATGTTTAAATTTAATTTAAAAAATATCATGTGAATACAATACTTAATAAACAGTTCAATCCATCGCTAACAATGGAATATGTTCCGTTAATTTATTGGCTGAAACACAATAAAATTTGTAGGCATATATCGAAGTCAAAGTTAATAAACTATTATCAAGAATAAAGAAATCAAAAAATTAAATTCAAGTAATCTAAACAATAAAGTAAACAAAATGAGTGTACAATAACAAACTATACTGGAAGTTCTTTGTGAAGTGCTAGTCCCTCCGCCGGAGCGACGACGAGCCGCCGGCAAGACGGGCAAGACGCGCGCGAAACCAGCCACACGTCGACACACCGCGCGTGGAAGCCATGGCAGCACACCGGCAGCACCCGGAGTTTTTCTCCGGCGGAATATTCCGTGAGACAGATCGGGCATTCCGAGAACTTCCGGGCATGCTCCGCCGCGAAACTGACCACCGGCAGCGAGTCCAGGACGCCTCTGCTCAATCCCCTGTACGCCGGCCCAGCCACCCAGCCGGACATCCACCGGTGGAAAGCGATAAAAGCGCAAAATAAGGCGAAGAAGAGAATCGCCCATATGATCACCGAGATGAATAAAAAGACGATTGAGAACTCGAGTTTCGACATATCGCCGGCCGCCGGGGTTTCTTCGGTTTTCTCCTGACGACGGCTGCCGGGATTTTTTCGGTTTATATAAACCGTCAACCCGCGGAATTTTGGGAATTCAGTTTTTTAAAAATGAGCGGGACCCAAATAAATGTACTTCTGAATTTTTGAGTCTTTTGCAGAGTATTATTTGATCATTTAAATTGAAATAAAATTATAAAACCATTTTTGGTAAAATTTTAAAAATGGAGCTAAATACACAATTTAAGTTTTGGAGTAATTCTTTTGATGCAAAACTTCCAAATTAAAGTTATTAACAAATCGATCATTTTGACAAATGTTTTAGAACAATTTGAAACTGTGTCGTGTTGTGCACTAATTTAAACTTTCATTTTTTTTTCAAAATAGGATTTTGCATTGTGGTAATATGACTTTGCACTGTGGTAATGTGGCAGTGTACATTAGGGGTGGACACGGTACAGTTCCGGTTTCGGAACCGCCGGTTCCGGTACCGCCACCCCTTGGTACCGGTACCGTGACCGGACCGGACGGTACCAGTTCCGGTACCCGGACCGGCGGTTCCGGTACCGGACCGGCCGGTTTCGGCAACCTCCTTTTTTTTTGCTTTTTGTTTTAAATTTTTTGAAAGTTTAAAATTGTAAATATGTAATAGTTAAGGGAAATAATGAAATAAAAAAGAGCAGAAGGCTGAAGAAACAAGAAAAAGAGAGGTGGAAATAGGTGCCGGTCGATCTCCTGGGAAAAACAAAAAAAAATTCAATGGGTACCGGAACCGGTACCGAAATACTGGCACCGGAACCGGTACCGTGGGGGGCGGTGCCGGTACCGGTTCCCCGGAACCGGAGAGACGTGACTCCGGCGGTGACGGTAGCGGTACCGCCGGTACCGTTGCCGGTAGCGGTACTGTACCGGTACCGTGTCGAGCCCTAGTGTACATGTGCAAAAACTATATTTTTTTGGTAATGCATATGACCATGTTTGGTAATGTAAGTCCTATTTCGAAAATAAAAATATGAAAGTCCTATTTTGATATGTATTTTCAATGTTAAAATCCTACTTTGGTTTTCTCCCTTTATTAATCCTGTTTTAAAAATGTATTTCATTGAATTTTTGTAGTAAAAATTTAATCATAAAATTGAGAAAAAAAATAAATTAGATTACAATATATGTTTGATATAGTTATATTTAAGACTTCAACTATGTTGAAATGTTGAATGACATATTTAAAACATCTTATTTTAAATTAAAATTTACCGTTGATCATCCATCATTGTCATCATATCATTGTCGCTAATAGCCACTCAATTGTCGTCCATGACGATAAACTGTGACCAACACTAACTGTTGTAACCATTGGTAAAAAATATCAAGCGTTAGCCTTGTTTGATAATAAAATTTTTGATTAGTGTTGTGTTTTAAATAAAACTTTAATAGTATAAATTAGTTTTTTAAAAAAGTAAAAGCATGAAATCTGTACCAAAAATAAAATCTCTTTCTCTTTTTTGAAAGTATGTCATATGAAGCAACATTATACAAAAAAGTAAAGAAAGCAAAAAATAAATTTTCTTTTTCTAATATTTTTTCACGGAAAAAATAAAACCAAAAAATAACAATGTTTAAAACAAAAAAAATGAACTATTCAATTGTACTAATTTAAAAGATACTCCGTATAATTTAATTTGAGTAAGCATAGGTAAATATTAAATAAAAATAAAAGTGTAATCGTATCAATTATAAAAATTGATATATAAAAACTACTCCCAATTATATTAAATTTTAATTGTAACCAAAAAAATTCATAATTTATCGCAAATGTTTTTTCATAATCTGAGCCAAAAAATTAAAATAGAATTTTTACTCTCTGAGGGAGTAATCATGCCATCCTATTAGCTTTCATAACACATTGAATAACTAAAATCGCGCATATATACATATATGGAGTAAAATTTAATGTGTATTTTATTGCTAATCTATCCATTCTTAATTAATTCCTATACGTCTAATTATGTACAGTTTTTAAACTTTGCCCTTTGAAAATCCCAATTATTCATTCTTGGTATGCTTCAAATTTTCATTATAAAAGACTAAACACTTTCATGCTTAAGCACATCTGAACTCTAATCTCATATTTTTTTCGTGCTAGTAAAAAAGAAAATCAAATGACTAACAAGTTGGATATCTTCAAGCTTTCTCTTATGTTGTTTCTTTTGGCATTGAGCTTTCATGGCGGGCACGCAAAGGACGAGAGGCGTTCAAACATCATCGGTGGCACGAAGTATTCTCGGACGACAATTCCACGTTTCCCGGTGTTATCGAAGGAAGGAATGGTCTCAGCGTCCGCCCCGTCACCGAATAACAACCATGTCATAGCGGCCGGTGGTGACTGATTCAGTAATCTGTAGGTTTTTTACACGAATTTTAGGTGTGATGTTATGATACTTTCGGGACTATTTGATAGTTTATGTATCATTTTATTTTCTCTTTAAGTTCTGATGTGGGATACTCACGGGCTGCTAGGAATGAACGTCTACACCTTGACAAACGAGGTGGCTAAAACCAGCTCTGATACCATGATATAATTTTAGGATGGGTATAGACAACTAGATTGGGCAATAAGACACTTGGGTTGAACCACAATAAAAGATTGAATCCAATCTATTACTTAGTTCAATTCAAGAGCTTATATACCAGTTTATTTTCTCTTCAAATTCTGATGTGGGATACTCTTCAACATAGTGATCCATACTTTTTTATTTTTATAAACAAATTTCAACCATACATTCTATATTTTTTAATATTTTTCCTAATCGTCGTGAATATTTTTTGAGTTGTCTTGTAATGCCAATTTATCTTTTCTCAAACATATTTAAATCACTGGCTTTATATTTTTCACTATTTTTCTTAAATTTCTTGAATTAAAACTGAGAAAATATTATAGGGATGAGAGAATTTCTATGTCACTACTCACTACACCAACATGCTTCCACAAATTCCTTGTATTGGTATCTAAAGTATCAACCACCGGAGTAAATATAAACAAATCAAATATATACTCCGAATGATTGTCATTCAAAATAAAAGTCTCATTTCCATTGGCTCGATCAATAAAAAGAGTCAAATTTATTTTTGTTGTAGTTTGTGCTATTCTGAATTTAAAACTATGAACTATACATATGAGTTTTTTTTCTTGATATTCAAAACTTCTCATGTTCCATAGATTCAAATATTCCTACACCGTGTGACTTCTTTCAATTTCTACATTGTTTTCGTAAAATATTTTAGCAAAAGAATTTAAAATATTATATTAAAAGTATTTTCCAATACAAATACGGTGATTATATGTATTTTTTATATTTTAATACATTGTATCTCCTCATACATAATTTGTGAAAGTTCATTACAAAAAACGAACCATACATTTAACCAATAGGGGGAGTAGTACATAGAAAAGTTAGAAAATACCCAAAATATGCATGTATTAACTCTCTAGTAATTGTGTGGCCTTTTTAGAATCTCCATTAAATGTATTGTTTTTTATTTCATAAATTTAACTAAATAACACTAAAATATAATGATTTTTCCTAAATAGCATCATATGTTTTTATTTCCCAATGTGGCACTTTTAGTCATTATTTAATTGAATGTTTACCATCGTTGGATATTATTCCTCATTCTAGATATTATTAAGTGTTATTTAGGGAATAAAAAAGTTTAAGTCCTACATAAGAAAATGACTTACTACGTATGTTTTATTGCTATTTAGTGCAAATATTTCTTTGTATTTTTTTGAACCAAAATGTATTGTTATTAATTACTCTATGTAATACTCCATCCGTTCTCAAAACTTGTTTTTTGTAATATCTAATGTTGACTTGTGGAGTATATATGTAATATCTAATGTTGACTTGTTTTCTTTAGCTTATTTGTATAGAGATTGGATTAGATTTGAAGATTTTAGATCAAATCAAAAAAACATTGTTTTATATTTTGAACTAATACACCACCCCTCTTCTGGTATGCAACAAGGACAACTAACAAATGGGAGTGGTTAGTTGAAGATGAAACAAGGAGTAGAAATTTAAAGTAAAGTAGGCCATATATACATATAATCCACTTGCCTCCTCCACTATATATGTTTTGCCATTGTTGAAGCAGTTGGATCCGTCATACTCCGTATAATATTGTGCCCTCATAAACCACTCAAATAAAGTCTCAAACTTTTTGTTTTGTTTTGTTTCCATTTCCATAATGTGATCATTTCCTAATCATCAATCTTTTGAAATGTACGTGGTGCATGATCCACTAATCGTTCATACTCTAATCCTAGTAATATTAAATTACTCTATTTGAGCGTGGTCATTGTGCAGCTGACAAGATATGGAGTGTTCATTATGAGTAAATATATGACTTTGATCAATAACGTTAAAAGGTAACTAAACTGAACAAATGGTATCTGCAATTAGCAATTATCAAGTGCAGACTTCACTATTTGACACAAAGCTATTACTCGTACTATACCCAATTTAGCTCCTCTAATTAGGTGTTCATATGTCCGGTTCCGAAGGGCCATCGAGAATGAGGCTAATCCTCTTTTGAAATGCTATTTTTTGCATTTTTTTGTCTGAAAATGAATTTCTTATTCTTTTTAAAGTATCAAGTTGTTCACATTATTTCTATCTTTTTTGAATTAATCTTAACAACAACTTTTATTTTTTTCAACTCTATACGAATTAAAACAGTAAGAGCATTTACAATTGAAGTAAAAACCGCTGCGCTTCAAGAGACATAAAACGTTGCGCTTGAAGGAAAAAACACTGCACCGCTGAAGCATTGCAATGGACGAGTGGTGCAATGGAGGCTGAAAAACTGGAAAAAAAACAAGTTTGATCTGGTGTGGCGAAAAGCTACAGTGGACGGACGGCAGATCGTTTCAGCCGTGGCTTGATCCCTTCCGCCGCTTGCCCTGCAATGGCACAACGCGCCACGGCTTCCCCTCCCTTTCCGACACGCCCGATTTCTAATCCTCCAATGTAAGTG